TTGCGCCCACGCGAAAGTGTCAAAAACACAGTGTTTTGCTCCGCACCACCGGCCGCGCCGGCAGCCTCAGTTTACTGCAGTCTGTTCGAAGCACGGGGCAACTTGCGCGAGGCACGTTTGCGGAAGGAAGCAGGCCCATAAGCGTGTGGCAAAAAACATCTACTAAGATGGCAGGTAGTGCACAGTAGTAACGTCACAACACACACTGACATCAACTCAACACACACACTCACTCGCTCGCTCGCTCGCTCGCTCGCTCGCTCACTCACTCACTCACTCACTCAGTCACTCACTCACTCACTCACTCACTCACTCACTCACTCACTCACTCACTCACTCACTCACTCACTCACTCTTATTTCGAGACACTTCGCTGTAGGCAATGCAATCTCCAAAGCCGGGTTTGGCGGGGGCCAGTGAAGCCTCACCAATAAGCAGGTTTCCGCAAAAAACTGATGTTGTTCACGCTTTCCGAGGCCTTGCGCCCACGCGAAAGTGTCAAAAACACAGTGTTTTGCTCATGTCTTGAGCGAAAACCATGCCCAAAACCGAGCTTAGATGGGGATCAGTATAGCCTCACTGTTAAGCAGGTTTCCACATTTTGCGCCTTTCCAGCCGTCAAAAACATAGAAAAGCACAGTGTTTTCCAGTGTTTGCGCAAAACTGGGCCCAAGTTGGGGCCCATGCTCGGGGGCGGGTAATCCCAAGAACCGAATTGTGTTTCTTGAGCCTGCCGGCCCACTATGGTCTGATACATATGGGGGAAAGAAAGTCGGCGGCACTGGGGGGCACCTCTGTGGGGAGGGGTAAGGGGAGGGGTAAACCCCTCCCCAGCAAATGGGAGGGATCTACACACAGCCCCTTCGCCCCCTTGGGGCCGGATTTAAGAGCTTACGCCTAACAGCCGGGCGCCCCGAAAAGCATCAGTTTTCCACGTGCTGTCATGATTTTCGCAACCGCGCGGCCTGCAACCCATACAAAACCAGCAAAAACACTCGGTTTTTCTACTGGTTCGCCAAAAATGCGGGGAGAGGTGAGCCCTGCCTGCTAAGCAGGTTTCCACATTTTCCACGTTTGCGCCCGGCCTTGAATCCATACAAAACTATCGAAAACACAGTGTTTTTTCCGCGGTTCACCGAAAAGCCGACCAAAAATCGAGTTCGGCCGGGACCGTTGAAGCCTGCCTGCTAAGCAGGTTTCCATATTTTCCACGTTTGCACCCGCCAAAAACCTTCAAAAACATTGTGGTTTTGCACGTTCTCGGCAAAATTGGCCCGACTCAGGTGACAACATCCCCAGCATCCCCCGCATCACCGGCCTTATCCGCATCAATGTCCGCCATGGACGCGGACGATGCAGGTGATATGCTCAACAAGTCGTCAAAAATCGCGTGAACAAATTCACAAATCCTTCGCCCCTTAGCAGTGAATGCAGCCTCCGTTCGACGCGGAGTGAACGTGGAGTGAACCTAGAGTGAACCTAGAGTGGGTCGGCGGCAGGGGGCGCGAGCCTTATAACCTTCGGTTAGAGGGAACCGAAGGCCTCCGGGGAAACCACGGGCTCGGGGCGGGCTGCCGCCCTGTGCCGCCGACCCGCGGAGAAGACTGTGCTGTCAAACGTATCATCCAAGTAAGTACACGCTTTTCTTCAATCGTTTTGGACGCGCTTTTGGTTTACCACGCTTTTGTGAAAAGTGGCAGCGCCCAATGTTTGGGAAGCGCCATTCGGTTTAAGAGACGTGCTTTTTTGTTCAAGCCGCGCAAGCACGTAGTGTACTGCATAGTGTAATGCAATGTCATGTCACGAAATGTATGCAAATACGTTTGTGTGTATGTGTGTGTGTGTATGCATGTATGTTTGCATGTATGTAATGTATGTAATGTATGTTTGTATGTGAGTATGTTTTCTGTACCTGTGTATGTATGTAATGTATGAATGCATGCATGTATGTATGTATGTATGTATGTATGTATGTAGTGTATGTGTGTATGCACGTCCGTATGTATTTATGTCATGTTATGCAATGCTTTGTATGCACGCATTTTCATGCACGTGTGTATGTATGTATGTATGTATGTATGCATGCATGTATGTATGTATGTATGTATGTATGTATGTATGTAATGTATGCATGTATGTGTGTTATGGAATGTATGTATGTATGCATCTATGTATGTAAGTTATGTTATGCATGTATGCATGCATGTATGTATGTATGTGTGTGTTGTACGTACTGGACGTACGTATGTATGTATGTATGTATGTAGTGTTTGGATGTATGTATGTGTGTATGTGTGTATGTATGTATGTATGGAATGTATTGTGATGCAATGCAGCACAATCTAAGGTATGTGTGTGTGGTAGAGCAACACAACGTAATGTATGAATATAATGTACGTATATATTGATGATGATGCTGATGGCTGATGAGTATGATGGATAATCGTAAGGATCATGATGATAAGGATGAGGACTGTCATGATAACTATCATCGTAGCATCCTCTGCATTAACAATGCTGGTTAACGGGATACCTGAAATGTATATAAATGTCAATGAAAGAGATGAATGACCGTGCTGATGCAGGGCGATGATGACCATCATGATGATGACAAGCGATGGTGACCATCATGATGATGATGACACGGGGGACGAGGCAACATTGGTAATGCAGAGGATGCGACGGTGATAGTAACCATGACAGTTCCTGAAGAGGCCGCATTAGTATCACAAAGGATGCTACGATGATAGTCATCAAAGCCGTCATCATCCTGATCATCATCCTCATGGACATCATCGTCACCTTTATCATCATCATCATGATGGTCATCATCGCCCTTCATCATCATGATTACATCATCATCTCTTTCATTTACATATATATATATATTATATACATCATGGTGTCCATGAGGATGATGATAAGGATGATGACGGCGATGACTATCAGCGTAGCATCCTTTGCATTACCAATGCTGCCTCATAAGAGATGATGATCGTGAGGATGATGATGATAAGGATGAGGATTGTCATGATCAGTATCATCATAGCATGCTCTGCATTGCCAATGCTGCCTAACGGGATGATGCTGCTGATGATGATGCTTAGGATGATGACGATGATGATGAAGAATGCTGATAATGATGATGCTGCTGATAATGATGATGGATGAGCATCATGCAGCAATCACCAGCACCATCATCATTTTCATCAGCGGCGTCACCATCACCCTCATGATGATACTGCTGATGATGATGATGCTGATGGCTGATGAGGATGATGGATGACCGTGAGGAGAAGGATGACAAGGATGAGGATTCTCTTGATAACTGTCATCGTAGCATCGTCTGCATTACCAATGCTGCCTAAAGGACACCTGAAATGTATATAAATGTAAATGAAAGAGATGAATGATGACCATCATGATGATGCAGGGCGATGATGACCATCATGATGATGAAAAGCGATGATGACCATCATGATGATGATGATGATAAGGGTGACGATGCAACATTGGTAAACCGCGGCGCAAATTGCTGTTTTTTACACTCGCATTGCCATTTGGCTCAAGACCCGTCTTACAATCGACATTGTGAGGCAGAGACGCAAAACAATCGAGCTTGCAGGATGTCTGCGATTCTAAGGATATTTGGAATATTGCAGGGTTCTTAGAGGACAACACAACCACTGTTGTCGGGTATATTGAAGAATCCCCTCGATTCTCAAATTTTCAGCCGTAGGGTTTGTCCCACGTGCTGTCAGACAAAGGTTGATTCGAAGCGAAAGGTCTTGTACCAACTCTTCATCGTGAATCAATCATAATATCGCCAAGCGGCGCATTGCTTTCGTGACGATCTTCGGTTACATTCGCGGCCGCTGCCGGAGTGTCATCTCAAGGAACACCGGAGTCAGCCGGTCACGGGAGCGGAGACACCGTTGTATTAAGCGTTGGGCCTGCGGCAACAAGCCAGCACGGTGACGCAGGCGGGAATCAGACCGCAGGAGCACGGGCTTCCTCCCGATCGAGAGCGCCGTCAAATGAGGATGATGGGTGGACACAACTCCGTAAGTCTCGAAGAGGAGAAAAGTCTTCTTCTCCAAGGCGTTCGCCGAGCGACCTCAGAAGTGCGGATCAGCAACTCGATGGTGAATTGCGAAAACTACAACGGAAAACAGAAGTGCAGATGAGTGAAGCTGCAGAGCGGCATGATGAGAACAGAACATTGAGGGCCGAATGCGCCTCGATGGAATCTTCTCCCAGAGCCTTGAATCCGATGAGGCTGGGAACCGGAGAGAAGGAACCACACTCTTGAGTCCCAGATTACATTCGTTTATGGACGAATGAAAGATGAATACAACCTGAAGACAGAACAGTTGAAGTTCAAGGAGAACAGGCTCAACGAGCTTGAAGCGATGGCCTACGACATCAACCATGAAGCTCAACAACTGCGGGCAGAGAACAGTGAAATCTCAAGATCATTGCGGCAGGCGAGTGACGCCGCTAACGAGTACAGGTCTCAGGTCAGTTTTGGCAAGGGAGTCCGAGCCAGACTGGACCAAGAGAATGAACAGCTTCGTGAAACAATGAGGCACGAAGAATCAGCGACGCAGGCTAAGATGAGGGGTGCAGAGCTGTACCACAACAACATAATCACCAGCAAGGATGGACAGGTTCAGACGTTGAGGGACCAAGTACAACAGTTGTCCGAAACTGAATCCAAGGAAGAACAGAAGTTAGCCGAGCAAAGGGCTGACGCAGAGAGGCTATAAATTACCAGAGAGAATATGATGCAGCTGAAAGATGTTGAGAGCAGAGACAAGCTGGAAACAGAACGGGTTAAAAGGCAATTGAGTACTGAAGGGGCAGCCGCTGCTGTATTTCCTCAGAGGAAGAGTCACGGCTTGCCGGTCTCTTCTGGATCGGCCGAGGAACAAGCCGAATTGATGAAGAAGAGCATGGCTCGGAAGGCTGAATCAATAGCTCAGAAAAGGGACAAAGAGATGGAACAGCTGCGGGGCACTTGTACCCGACTCAGGGGCCACAGGAATGAGTTACAGGATGTTGCCCATGACAATGCCACCGACGGGGATTGTGCCACGATCCAGGAGCGGATCTTTTACAGGGTCTACGTCTCGCTACTTCTTCCGGTGTGGTAACAGAGTCCAAAGGAAAGAGGCGGAGATGATCAGTGTGCCTTCATGGCCAAAGACTGAAAATCAAAGCTTTTGTCAAATGTCCTTGCTGGCTGTGGCGACCCCAATTGCGATGCTTGGTCCGCATGGCTTGCCGAATCCTGTAGCCCTCATAGCTTGTCCGACAGTGGAGGTTCAAGATTTGCCGGTGTTGACAGCAAGTTGGTAATAAGCATGGATAAAACGATCAAATCTGCAGGAGATGAGGCAAGCAAAGTTGCGCTTGAAGTCCAGCAGCTAACTGCCAAGCTGATCAAAGTGAGCAAGACTCATGGCGCTTGAAAGTATCCGAACTTACGACAGGGTCGACCTTGTTTTCGGAGTGGAATACTTGTATAAGTTGACATATCCGGGTGACAAGAAAATGGGTGACTTCAAGCAGCGGTGGTACATCATTGCGGGAATCAAGCCAGAGTCTGTTCCGCGAAGTGGAGCTGAGGGATACACTGTACCGAAAGCTCAAAGGAAACCCCAACGACTTGGAGTTATATCTAACATTGTACGAACACATGGATCGGGATGAGCGAGGACGCACAAGCACCTGCTCAACATGATTGGGCGTCGGGAAGAAAAGGAAAGTAAGGAGAAGTCGCTCAAGGGTCATAGGTTGGGCAACGCACTTCCCTCTCCGAAGGAAAAGGCAAAGCCTAGACCGAAGGCTACGCCGGAGACAAAGGACGCCACGGACACATCAAGCTCTGTCGGCCGCGAGCCAGCAGCAGCCCGCGCAAAGGCCCAAAGGATTGTCTTTGGAAAAGGGAGAACCCGCAACGTGTTACTGACCAGGCAGCTGCGAATCGCGCTGCGTCGAAGGCCATCCCACGACCGCCGTTGAGACAACCTCCAGCACCTCCAGCACCGATGCCAAGGGCTGCAGCTCAACGCTAAGGTTTTGGTCGCCGCCGCCAAAATACAAGGAGGCACTGCTGGCCCCCCCTGAGTCGAGGCGCAAGCCGGCTCCGGCGCAGCAATTGCCGGCGAAGAGCCCGCCGCTTGCAGCTGTAAGGGCTGCCTCAAGTGTGAAAGCAAGCGCGAGTCCAAGTCACGGAGTGAAATTCGCTTATTGCCCCACCAGACATGGGATTCCGACGATGGTGGCAAGCATACCACCTGTCGGTCTGTGGTGGTCCGCGTGATGATACCGCCTGCCCGCAGGGGCAAGGACCTCAAGCGTATGATGCAGGTGGTGGGGATGCAGCTGGAAGTGCGGCAGATTTTGGTTTTTTAAAGAGAAAACCGTGGTTCGCATCGGGGACCTTGGCTCTGGATCTTCGTCTTCCGCCAGAGAACGCCGGCCAGGCACGAGGGTACGTGAATCAAAGTCCTACTGGCCACCGAAGAAGAGCTAAAGGCAGATTTGCACTTCCCACACACAACCCGTCAAATTGCCGCGAAGCTTGAAAACTTGCCGCAAAGGTAGGTTTGGGATGTTGTTCCAAACCATTGTGGCGCAGGAGCGCGCCCTCACTGGAAGTATGCCCAACGGGCGGGTGATGTTGCGTTCCATTTTCATTCACTTTAAATTGGAGCGGGATCGGATCGGTGTTCTGGTTAATGCAATCTCCGTGGTATAAAATTGGCCGGTCACTCGGTAGCCGACTTAGAGGCTGTTCGCGACAAGTATGTTTACATCGACCGAGATATACTTCTTGATGAGAAACCCAAGGAACGTACCTTGTTCAATCATTTGCTTGATGAGTTCGAGGAATGTTCCGCCCTCAAGCGTCGCGTTGAGAAAGCCCGCAGTGGCTTTGGGCGACAGCCGCCCTTGCCATCGAACTTGTTCGATCAAGATGTGAAGCTCAAACCTTCGGTGAGAGCCACAGGCAAGGATGCAGCTAATCAGCGGAAGCCACCAAGCAGAAGAAGGTTTAGAGAAGTGCAAGAAGGAGAAGGAAGGGCAGGATACAAGTGGTGCGCCCAAGAGGAAGAACACTTCTGTCAAGCCTCTCCTCCGGCAAAGAGTCAAGGCGCCGCTCGGAAAGGCAATGCAACTCCTTCTAATTTCATCCCAAGGTCAAAGGCAGCGAACATGACCGCCGCCGAAAAGACAAAAGTGTTGTGCGTGCTTTACGCAGATGATTCGTGTAGGGCTAAGACGTGCAAGAGCGCTCGGTAAGGCCACGGCCCGCGGCCGCCGTCGCAGCCGTCGTCCCAGCAGGCGTGATCTTAGCGAGAGGCGATGAACGCACAGGCATAGGCGTTGGCGGAGCCAAATCACACCGTGTTGTCAGGGATGTGTTTTCCGGCGCTATCCTGTCACAAAGAGGGGCATCGCAACGCATGCCAAGAACTTCGCCATTTCGAGGGCCTTAAGGCCAACCAAATTGCTCCGCATGGTCTCATCAAAATGGGCGAAGCAGGTGGGTTGCAAGGCGCAGCAGAGGAGGTTGGGATGATCCCCGAAACTTCTTTGCCAAACCGCTGGCCACATCACTCTGAGCTTGAGCGAGATGTTCGAGAGGAGAAGGAGTGTTGCAGGAGTATCCACCATCAGTCCGGTTTGCCTTACTCCCTGCGCACACACTCTTATCCTTTTGCTTGCCTCTCGGCCGGCCATCTACGTTCGACCCCGCAAGACCCAATGGGAAGCAATGACAAAGGAAAAGTTCGATGGCGCCTGCTGCTGTTTTGGTCAACTCGTTTGGTGTCGTTTGAAGTCTCCAGGAAAACGGACGCTTGAACCCAACATGGCTCCTGGCTTGTTTTTGGGGTATCGGCCCAGTTCTTTGGTGCCGAAGGGTCCTCGTTTCCGCACCAGCCGTAACGGTACATGATGTGCCGAGCGCGAGTTGTTCATCAAAGAAGGAGACCCAATCTTTCCAATAGCCGCGGCTGCCGAATCTGGCAAGAGCAAAGTGCCGGAGTACTCGGTGCATCCATGAAACGAGACACCACGAAACTTATCCTTGCGTCGTTCAAGAACCCGACAACGTCTGGCCTTTGCCAACCTTCGAAATCACGAGGCCGCTCGAAGGAAACTTCGCCATGCTCTGCGTGCGTTGCAAACTTGGAGAACATCAACTTGGATTGCTTCACTTGTTCATCTAACTTTTCTTGAATGGCTGCCAAAAGGTTAGGACGGACACACTGTCGAAAGTTGGTACGAGAGCTGCTTGTCCGCATCTGATTCCAAATCAATATACTCTTTAGCTAAGCAAACATGCGGGATGTCAAGTTCCTTGAACACCTTACCCGTTGAAAAATTTGGGTGAACAAGCAAACTCGAACATCGGGCGGTTGGCCTCCTTCGCTTATCGCTTGCAAGCATACTTGTTACGAACCGTGCAAGGCGGGTGCTTTGCGCCCCTCCGAAACTGGCACGTGTTGCCGAAAACGGATGGCTTTTCTCCAGTTCTCTCTGTTAGGGAAGCGGCGGAAGCGGCTGACGCAGCGACGGCGGCTCCTGAACTGACGGGTGCCGAACCCGTACGCAACTCAGGCTGTTGCGCGTCAGCTGCTCAGAGTTCATGCACAACCTAAAAGTATATAGACTAGTTACACCAGCCCAGAAAACAGGAAGCCCCCTATAGTCCTGACCAACCATCTGAGATGTCCTCCCTACTCTCATCGTACTGAGACACAACACGAGTCCTGCTGGGTGATCCCACAGGCACGGGGCAATCGTCAACATTTTTTGGGGTGAACAGGCATTTGCGAGGTGGGTGATGAACACGGATCAAAACCAAGAGACCCGGTTTATATACCCATTCGTCCTTCTTTGTGGATGCAGGGAGTGCCTCGGCATGTGAGCCGGTGGGTCGAGAGGACGCGGGCTTGCCAAGAAGTGCGCGGACGACTTCCTCATCTTCCTCCTCAGTCACCTTCGTGGGTTCAGAACCTCCCGAACCGCATTCTACCCTGAACGGACGCGCGGCATCATCGCCAGAGCGTTGTGTCCTCGCAGGCTTGCGATGCCAGTGCACGCGATGCCCCGTTGTTCCAGTAACTCAGCAGAAGGAGCATCGTGTTAAGGAACAGCAGGCGTCGATGATTTCTCAATTCTCCTTGACCCAGACCCAAAAGCAAAGAACATCATAGACGAGTTGCTTGATGTGGTCTAATGGCTGCTACTCTATTTTTGCCAAATGAATGCTCAAACCGAAGTGCGCGCCACGGTCACTAAACTCTTGTCACGTGCTGGGATGCTCGCATCCCCTGAAGCCTCAGACGCCGTAAGACAAGAGGCAACCGGTCTGCAAGACATCGGGGTCTGGGACGCGGCGACTGCTCGAGAAAAGGCTGAGCTCGCAGCTTGCTGAAGCGCAACGAACTACAATTCAAGTCCATTTCGGTCAGCTCATGACTCCTGCAATTATAAAATTCTACGAGCTCGCAAAGCATCTCCAAACGATGAAGGGCGGATCGTGTTCAGGGGGACGCCGCCAATGATGAAGCGGGCGCACCCGCCGTGTGCCAGGAGCTAGGGGCCACCCTACCTCGGTGCAAGGCTTGAACGCTTGCCTGGCCAATGGAAATAAGGCCACCGCCGACGCGGTCAAAGCCTACTTCCAGGCATTCCTCAGTTCCCAGTTCCAGACCTGCGGAATTGAGGTCAAAGCCAGTAGTGCTGTTGATTCGAGCCTCGCACGGCCGTCCTGATGCCGTTGAGAAGCCCACTTGAAAAAGGCGCGCAAGCAGATGGGCGGCAAGGAAGTTCCCGAATTTTTCTGGTAGCTTCTACTTTAAGGACACCGAGTTAATGTTGTCAACTTATGTTGATGACTTCACCCTGGCGGGCCCCAAAGACGCCCACGATCCATTCTGGGCAAGGCTCACTAAAATGATTGATGTCGAGCTGCCGGGGCCCATCTCCAGGGTGCTCGGACGTAGCCATGTCTACATCAATGCCCGCAGGGTCGCATGAACCCGACAGCTGTAAGCGCGTTAAAGGGTGCCGTTGCCTTCGACATGACCGACTATGCCCGTCAAACCGTAGAACTGTTTTGTTCTATTACGGGCACCCCATCCGAACAGCTCCGACTTCCTCCCGAAGACGACAAGTCAGCAGGTGAGCTTGCTCCGAATGCGTGCGCGTTACTCATCAAACCCTATGGCTTGGACGGCTAGCGCGTCCAGACACAATCAAGGCCATTGGTTAGCGACCGCAGTGTGGGTTCGCAACCACGATAGGCATGGCTAGGCTAGTTTCTTATATCAACCCGACCGCGCAGTACCGGTCACCTGGCACCATCAATGATCAACCGCAAGATCTTCATCTCGCTCTGTGCGCTAATCTCAACTTTGCCCAAACTCGCATTTCTCGTTAACTTGATTCAGCCAATGCAAAACGTCAGTGTCGGGATCCACCACAGAAGCGGAGGTAGTGTCACTCGCGCGCTCTTTGTATTCAACAGACTCGCACGGTGAACCTTGCTGCGCTTTCAGAACAGCTTGAGCCCGGCGCAAGTTTGGTGACCCAACATGTTTCAACAGAGTTACACGCCGCCCATATCTTCACAAGAGCACTTCAACCCATGAAGTGGGACCACGCCCTCAAGCTTTTAGGCATACGAACAAATTTGCCCGAAACGCTAGAAGATGTTCGAGCTGGCGTGACAAAGTCACGCAGTGTGTGTGCAAAAATCTTGAGAGCCCCATGACCATAACATGAGTGTGGGTCGCAGCTCAAGCGCGAGTGCATCTTAGGGGGAGGGGGGAGTTGAAGAATCACGACGCGCCCCAAGACACTCATTGCATGAGGCCTCACGAGTTGCGTGTTTCAAGTTGACAGGCGCCTACAGCAATGCCGGTTTGGCTCAAGATGCAAGTGCCCATGTTCAAAAAGACAGGGTCAGCGCACGCTTGCCGGTCCGGGATAATAAGGGTCCCGTTTTTTGGTTCGCTGTGTTAATTCTCTGTTGGGTGTTATCTGGCAAAGTCGCTGGGCCTTGCCTGTTCCCCACTTGCAATGTGCAAGGGGCCAACTGTAGTTGCTTTGCACGATGATTTTTGCAAGCTACTACCCAGTGGCATTCGCTAGAGGTTTGCGTGTGTTTGACTTCTGCAATATCAGAAGTGAAGCGGAGCAATCCAAGCCGTGCTCGTGTCACACGAAACCCGTCTTCTTTCCCACTTACCAGCAAGAAGGGCAAATGCGCAGACTCCAAACTGGTGGCTTTTTCTTGGAAGCAGATGGCGCACTGGTGAGGCAGACCCATTGATTGGCCAGCCTCCTTTTCATGTGCGAGGCATGTGAGGACACGGTGCAGGGTGCCAGGCAAAGCCTACTTGTTCAAAGGTGTCTCACAGGACATTGAATCCCTTCGGATGAGAAAACTTTGTGCAGTTGCAGGCAGCGGTGGTTGGAGAAGATCACAGACTGCTGGTTTTAGAGCCTTGAAGTTTTCCGACTGTCAATTGTTTGCTTGCTTGAGCCAGGAACAGCGCATGTTGAACGCGCAAGGAAGCGGGTAGGGTACTCAAGGCTTCTCTATTTGCCCCTCTGAGCAGCCTTCAACATCACCTTTTGGGCAGGCCAATCAAAAAAAGATACCTTTTGGAAGGGTGATGTTTGAAGAGGGGATGATGAATAGCTAACGGTTGGATTGTTTGTGGACCAAACGCTTTATAGGTAGCGCCTGCCCCCTTGCAAGCATCATTGAATGCCCGACCCTATCAGACGCTTACCAAGTTATCGGTTCACAAGGGTGAAGAAACCCAAAGTGGCTACCAGCTAGCTCATTGCTTTTTTCACCACGTTCGTAAGTAGTTTAGGGAGACCAACACTTCCAGACAAAAGGGAACAACCGTGGCTACCTGCTATAATGGTAACTGGGAACCTCAGCGCGCTGTATCCATTAATTCACGGTGATTGAGACTTCCCAAAGAAAGGTCAAACGACGCCCAACGTGCTACACATACGGCACGCGCCAGGCGACTGTCACAAGGTGAACCCCTCCCAATGGCTTGATTCCATGTTTTGTGCTGGCAAGTTGTCCAAGGCCGATCGAATTTCAATGAAAGCAAAGGCGTGATAGAGCCACAGGCAGAATACTTGTGTGTTTGGCCTAGCACCTGCGCTTTCAATGGCAGGTGCGTCAATATTGCCTACTGTGGTAATTGGAAGCACTGGGCAGCAGTTATCACTTCTGGCTTCTGATCTTTCTTGGTTCCTACTTTCTCGTGCCTAGCCGTGGCATTACAAACGTGACTTTCCAGTGCTTTTTCACCCGGGGGGCGGGGCCTTTCGAGCTGAGCGGAAGACCTTTCCGGGCCGTCCTGCGCATGTAGAGCCAGCGGATCATTTGTTCCATGGTTTCAAAGGGAAGCCAGAGAAAAAACGTAGGAAAACGAAAGCCCAACACTGCCCAAAACCATCTCCGAGGCCTCTGGCTTTGAGCATCGCCTGGCCTTTATCACGCAGGAGAGGAACGGAGTAGCGGGGCGAAGCTGTGTGTGTGTGTGTGTGTGTCTGTGTGTCTGTGTATTTGTTTGTTCGTGTGTGTGTGTGTTTGTGTGTGTTGATGTGTGTGTGGATGTGTTTGTGTGTTTGTGTCTGTGTGCGTTTTGCGTGGTGCGTCTGACTGTCTGATCGTGTGTCTGATCGTGTGTCTCTGTGGATGTGTGGCTCTGTATCTCTGTGTCTCCGTGCGCGCGTGCCTTCGTGCGTTCGTGCGTGCAGTTCCTGCTTGCCTGTGCGCGTCCGTGCGGGCGTTCCTGCGCTTGCGCGCGACGGCAACAACAGCCATGACAACAGGGGGCTGAAAGAACGCATCGCCAAGAAAGGCGCGTGACCCGGGAGCTCGAATTAGTCCAAGGAGGGATGGCAATGTTTTGCGCAGACACAACGATCAGCTCCAGCTTCAACAAGCTCACTGGTTGCGATCGTTGTTTCCTAAGCAGCTCTAGGTGTCCACATGGAAGAGATTGAACTGTCAGACAACATCAACCAGCAACCAACAACCAACACAACCAACAACCGCAACAACAACAATCAACAACTGTTAAAATCTGATTTTTTTGTTCCTTTTACTAGTGCTGCTACTACAGTGCGAGCGCTGTGTAAGAAATCGGCTGTTCGGGGCCCAGGGGTGCTGAATTTCTTAGCGTCCATTTCGTCTTTAAAAGAGCTGGTTTCTATTCTCTGGAGCCAGGCCGGCTCGATTTCTTAGCCAGTTGCTTAACCTTGACATCGTTTAGGGGAATGAGTTCCGGAATTTCTTAGCAAAGGGCCTCTTCATCGCCCGAAAAGGCCGCTAAGAAATCCAGCCCCTGAGTTTCTTAGCAAGGGGCCCTTCATCGCCCGCAAAAGCCGTTAAGAAAACCAGCCCCTGAATTTCTTAGCAAAGGGGCCGTTCATCGCCCGAAAAGGCTGCTAGGAAATCCAAGGCCAACCCCGCACCAAGGTGAGCTGGTGTCGCGGTAGCACACCCGCACCTAGAAATTAATGGTTCGGTTCTTGGCGTGTGGAGGTGGGTTTGTTCCTCGCGCAAGTTTGCCAAGAAACCGGACGAAAATCCAGGGGGGCTCAATTTCTTAGCGCAGCAAATGTAGTTGAACACAGGCGGCCATTGTTGTTAGTGTTGTTGTTCTTGTTCTTGTTGCTGTTGCTGGTGCTGGTGCTGTTGCTCGTTGTTGTTTGTTGTGTGTGCTTGTTGTTTGTTGTTGCGTGTTGTCTGGTGTTGTTTGTTTGTTTGTTGTTTGTTTGTCTGTTTGTCTATCTGTTTGTTTGTTTGTTTGTTTGTTTGTTTGTGTCTTGTTGTTGTTGTTGTTGCTGTTGTTGTTGTTGTTGTTGTTGTTGTTGTTGTTGTTGTTGGCGTTGGCGTTGGCGTTGGCGTTGGCGTTGGCGTTGTGGTTGTTGTGGTTGTTGGTTGTTGGTTGTTGGTTGTTGGTTGTTGGTTGTTGGTTGTTGGTTGTTGGTGTTGTTGGTGTTGTTGTTGTTGTTGTTGTTGTTGTTGTCGTCGTCGTCGTCGTCGTCGTGGTTGTGGTTGTGGTTGTTGCTGCTGCTGCTGTTGTTGTTGTTGTCGTTGTTGTTGTTGTTGTTGCTGTTGCTGTTGCTGTTGCTGTTGCTGTTGCTGTTGTTGTTGTTGTTGTTGTTGTTGTTGTTGTTGTTGTTGTTGTTGTTGTTGTTGTTGTTGCTGCTGCTGTTGTTGTTGCTGTTGCTGTTGCTGTTGCTGATGTTGCTGTTGCTGTTGCTGATGTTGCTGTTGCTGTTGCTGTTGCTGCTGCTGTTGTTGTTGTTGTTGTTGTTGTTGTTGTTGTTGTTGTTGATGATGATGGTGAAGATGATGCTGATGATGATGATGCGGTTGTTGTTGTTGTTGTTGTTGTTGTTGTTGTTGTTGTTGTTGTTGTTGTTGTTGTTGTTGTTGTTGTTGTTGTTGTTGTTGTTGTTGTTGTTGTTGTTGGTTGTTGTGGTTGTTTTGAGTGTTGTTGTTGGTAGTGGTGAGTGGGGTTGGTGTTGGTGGTGTTGGCGGTGTCGGTGTTGTTGGTGTCGTTGGTGTTGTTGGTGTCGTTGGTGTTGTTGTTGGTGCTGTTGGTGTTGTTGGTGTTGTGGGGTTGTTGGGGCTGTCGGTGTTGATGGGGTTGTTGGGGTTGTTGTGGTTGTTGGTGTTGTTGGGGTTTTGGGTTTTGGGGTTGCTGGGGTTTTGGGGTTTGTTGGTGTTGTTGGTGTTGTTGGTGTTGCTGGGGTTGTTGATGTCGGTGTCGGTGTCGGTGCCGGTGTCGTTGTTGCTGGTGGCGGTGGTGGTGGTGTTGGTGTCGGTGCTGGCGCTGATGTTGATGTTGGTGTTGGGGTTGGTGTCGGTGTTGGTGTTGGTGTTGATGTTGGTGGTGGTGGTGGCGGTTGGTGTCGGTTTGGTGTTTCTGTTGGCGTTGTTGTTGGTGTTGTTGTTTCTTCCGTCATGGTGTTTCCGCGCGCAAAAACACAACCCTTATGGGCAAGGCCGTGCGAAGTTCTTTTTGTCTGGCTTGCGCACCGTATGCGTGTGATTGGTAAGCGCGCCTGCTCAAGTGCACCCGCTCAGCACTGTATCCATGCCTGGCAAGTGGCACACCCTCTAACGCACTCGCTCAACACTCTGTCCATGCTTGCCAAATGGAAGGGACAGCCGCTCAAGTGCGCCCGCTCAGCACAGTATCCATGGCAAGCCCGCCCGCTCAAGCACATCTCGTGCTGTTGGCACCTACTCAAGTGCACCCGCGCAGCACTGTATCTATGCTGGCAAATGGTAAGCGCACCCGCTTAAGTGGACTTGCTCAGCTCTGTATCCATGCCTGGCAAATGGTTAGCACATATGGTAAGCAAACCTGCTCAAGTTGCATGGTATCCATATCGGGCAGATGGTAAGCACGCCCGCTGGTGCATCCAGCTTTCCATGCCGGGCAAATGGTAAGCGCTGTGTCCATGCCTG